TCTGGTTGTTTTCCGCATGCAGTGTATCTGGGTGTTTTACCGGGTGCAGTGTATCTGGGTGTTTTTTCGGTTGCGGTCTAGCCGGGTGTTTTACCGGGTGCGGTGTATTTGGGTATTTTACTGGGTGCGGTCTAGATGGGTGTTTTACCGGGTGCAGTGTATCTGGGTGTTTTACCGGGTGCGGGGTATTTGGGTGTTTTTCCAGGTGCGGTGTATCTGGGTTTTTTACCGGGTGCGGTGTATCTGGGTGTTTTTCCGGGTGGGGTCTATTTGGGTGTTTTTCCGTGTGCGGTCTATTTGGGTGTTTTTCTGTGTGCGGTGTATTTGGGAGTTATTTCAAGTCAATCACTTTGTTGCTTCTCAGGTTTGAATGTTTTTGTTCCAGTTTCTGGCTCCCTCTAGTGACGCAGCTATTTCACTCACGCTGTGCTCCAAAATGTAAGAACAAAAGAAATAGGGGCTGGGGTCAGCCATTCAACCCTTTAAACCTGCCCCACCATTCAGCAACATCATGGCTGATTTGCCGCAGGTCTCAACTTCTATTTCGTGATACATGCTCATTGTCCTCAACTCCTTCATGTTTGAAAAATCTATCTACCTCCTCTTGAAGTACTTTTTGTGATCTTGCCTTACCAACTCTCTGAAGTGGAGAATTGTAGAAATTCACTACCCTCTGCAAGAAGAAAATGACGTGCATTTTAGTTTTTAATGAGTGTCCCCTTATTCTGTAACTATGTCCCTGAGTTAGAGATTCCCACATGAGTGAACATTTTCTCAACATCTACCCTGTCAAACTCATTTTTCTGAACTCTACTGATAAAGATCTAACGTGTTCAGGTGTCCTTAATGTCAACCACTTCATCCCAGGAGTCAGCCTAGTGAATCTCTTTTGAACGGCACCTCCCCCCCCCCCACTTGCCCCCTTCCCCTCACCAATATATCCTTTTCTAATACATGGACCAAAACTGTACACAGTACTTTAGGCGTTATATGACTTTTTTTTATTTTCCTGTATTTTTGATTGTAGACTTAAATGGGAAAAGATAAAGATTGTTGAGGGATTCCTGAACTTACCCAAGGGAGACTGATAGCAAAGGTAGATCTGACGGGATCCAAAGAAATCTTACAGTTTGGATCTATAGTTGGCGAAGTGGCACATGCCAGAGGGTGATGGGTGAGGAGTGTTTTTCCAGCTCGAAGTCTGTGTCCAGTGTTGTTCCACAGGGTCAGTGTTGAGCCCTTGCTCTTTGTGGTGAATACATGAATAATTTAGACCTGAATGTGGGAGGGTTAATCAGTAAATTCGCAGGTGATACAAAAATTAATGGGTGGTAAATAGTGAGGAGAATATAGATG